AATCTACTAATTACTCACAATCGTAAAGTCAAAAACTTCACAATTATATTTCAACTCTCTCAATTAGCTAAAAACAATATTACCCTATCTAATCTACCTTTAGACCTCTGTCACCCAAACTTCCTTCGTAACACCTCTCTAATCTATGATATACTTCCTCCTGTCCCACATATTTCTATAATTAATAGTTTGAGAAATCACTGTTTACTTTTTATTGAACAAATTACAACATCAAATAACAAATTTATCTTATTCTGGAACAATATTTACCTACGTACTAACAAATCTACTCAGGGTCGTCAACCTCTCTAGTTTAATAATATTATTCAAATGGTTTAAAATAATACCATTTCAACTATCTGGCCTCAATTAAATCTACCTGAAATCAATTCCTTTTTCAACTCAACTGACCTCCTTTCTCATCTATCACAATCAAACTCTTCTCCCTTCATACAATTATATATTTCCAGTAATAATAAATTTCTCTTTTCAACATCTTTATTTAAAACTGAAATATATGTTTTAACCCCAACAAACACTGGTTTTATACAATTATCACCATCAACTTTATCATCCTTTCATATTCTTTCTTCTTTTAACTTTCCTTATAAACTAACTAACAAGTTAAATAATCCTCTTTATATCCAAATAGATTATAAGGAAATTCTTGCATTAAATGACATATTTGATTTTATAAATACTACAAATTCTTCTCAATTAATATCACAAATTAATATCCCCACACAGGATATACAATTAATATATGATATAACTAATTTAACCACATATCAAAATCAACTTTCTCAACTCTATTCTCTTATTCAAAACCTCGCTTCACAAGAGCTTCATTTTCATACTGATGCCTCAATTCAAAATCTACAATCACCAAATATTAAATCTGGTATTGGTTGGATTTGTGAAAATAATTTGTCTATTAAATTTAATGCAGCTACTATTCCCTATCCAGACACAACACGTGCTGAACTAGAAGCAATTATCTCTCTTCTTCTCGCAACTCCCAATAATACTCATATACATATTCACCTAGACAATAAGACAGCAATTAAAAACTTAAAACAAAAGTACTTTACCAAACCCTTACAAAACCAAAACTGGGATATTTTACTTACTATTAAATCTATTAAAAATCTCACTTTTACCCTTCACAAAGTCAAATCACACTCAAACTCACTACATAATCAAGCAGA